TAATTCAATGTTCTGCGTGGCATCAGACAGGAAAGTAATTGTTTTTCTCCCGAAATCTACCATTGTTGTTCATTTTATGGACATTGGAGCATGTACATTTTCACTACTGTATATTTTGTCTGATTCTATACTATTTTGTACTGCTGAGCACATCTGACAGGATATTTTGTCACAATGCCATGGTTAACATTTTTCAATAACATAAATTCAACTCAATCTGCTTTATATTATTTAATTATTCTCAAACCTGATATGTGGATACACACCTGAGATTTCACACTGTACATTGAATAAAAATACTATTTCAATAAATACGTTGATATCTCTTGCTATATCTGCTTTGTTATGATCCAAGTAAAAGGATGATTCGGATGGTTTTTTTACAGTAACTCATCTGAAAGAGATGAATAATGTTGAGTAATATGAAATACCATTCCAGAGACATTGTCATACTCACTTTCCACACTGCTATTTCCACTTGAAACTTCATCACAGTAGGACAATAGGTATTGGATTTTCCAGGAATGCTGAGGCGGATGGTTCCACTAGGAATTGAACATTGTGAATCAATTAACTTCGTTTGGCATTATTTTCGTGATTGATGCATTTGATTATTTCAGGTTGATGTTTTGATTTTGTTGATCAGTTATTGCGCTTTACGTCAATTAGATATCAACAGTGTCAAACTTGTCATGCGTCAAACGCCGATTCGGATTGATTCATCACCGAATGTAGTCGAACCAACTTAGCCGAGTATTCGTGAAGAAAACGGACAAAAGGTGTGACGTTATTTTAGTAACCAATTCTGATTGGTTTAGATAGACATCTGGAAAGGATCAAGTCTCTGGTGGGAGTAGGGATAACATCTTTCATTTTGAATATTCAAAATTTCCGCCAATTTGAAGAGCGGAAACTGTTAATTTGTTCTTGAAGTTTCTGGAAAGTTGTAGGAGGGATTCCATTTCCGGTCGTGAGACAAGAGCTTACTTCGGAAATTTTTTTGTGGTGGTCAAGTGCCATTTTTGTGGTGTGAACCGGCTTCTGAAGTCCTGTACCGCCTGGCGTTTTGGATCACATCAGGATATCCTGGATTTGTTGCTGATCTATGAGGACTGCTGAACTCTACAGATTTTTCTGGTTCTGGTTTAAGAGGCAGGATCTTCATGGTTCATCACCCAGGCAGCCACGTGCCTACCTTCATCATCACTACGGCCATTTCAATCTCCAACCCTCCATAGAAAGTGAGTCTCGTTTTATTTCCACGATTTTTCTCTCTGCAGTCCAGAAATTCAGAACCTCATTGTCATGAAATATTTAAGGGTTTCTACCGGGAGTTTCACCGGGAGTTTTACTGGGAGTTCTACAACGGGAGTTATCCTACCACTATTCTTCCCAGGAGTCATTGCTCTACCAAGATCTGTTATTTCTACGAAGCCTTCGGTCGCTATATAGTAGTCTGGAAACTGGACTCCGGATATTGTCCCCTACTTGTTTCCTGATGGATTTTCAAGGTGGAAATACGTCAACTCTGTCGATGTCATCTGACATCCAGGGATGTGGAGTCAGCACCCCGCTCTTTGCCAACCTTCCCCTCAGTAGCTTCATCTGGTGGCACTGAAGCTCTTTATTGAGGATAACTGGTGTAGGACACACCATACAGGTTTTTTTACATGAGATTATATTTTCATTTTTCATTTTTATTCACTCATAATGCCCATCGCAAGTGTGTATAATGGACTATTTTAGATCATAGCCAGGTCATAAATCTACGAAATCACACATGAAAGGTACATACTTCCCCTCCACATAGTATACTATGCGCTGGTAGAATTCTTCCATATTTAATATTTTTTTAATCTGCTATGACTATTAAACGTCCTCACAGGAGCTCTCGAATTCTCAAGTACAATATAAGGTAGATTTTTATATATTTTCACCCACATAATAGCAGGCAACAACAGTGTAGTTTATTAACAGGAATTAGTTATCTTATATTTTTTGATTATGCATATTATTTGTCAAAACCTGTGATATAGATATATGAGTCCTATCATCATAATTAAATGTTTTGGGTATTTTATATGACTGTTTTATTTGTTTATTGACATGACACTCCAACTCACAACATCTCTAAGGTAAATTTAGGTCATTTGGTCTGGGAGAACAACTGATATTATTCATTATCTGGCTGCTCAACTTTCCAGGTAACATTTTATTTGAATTAAAAGTTGCACTGGCGCCCCATCTTTTTTGTTCAACCTTATAATTGCTAGATACCTGAATTTTCGCTATTTTAACTCATTTTGATAATTCGAACCCATAGTGCCTACTGACGAAGAGCTGCCGTTTGTAAATGCACCTATTTTCCATGAAAGTAGGAGATGATTAAGTGGAAGTACCAGATGATTCACGCAGAACATTGAATTACATCCTCCCGAAATCTATGCATCGACTGCTGGCTGGAGACTACACTGCACTGATGAGAGTCAAAGAGCACCATTTCCTTCACGAATACTCGGCTGAGTTGGTTTGGCGATGAAGATACATCATCGTAGTATGATGAACAAATCGAGGAAAAAAGTCATTTGAAGCCATCTGATGAAGAACACGAATACTTTTTTGATGAAAATGTTTACGTAGACCACCCAAAATATAATCAGACATGAATAAACAGATAATTTCGTGAACTACCGTATACAGGGTGGCCCATCGAAAACTTGACCCTCGGACAGGTCGATTTTAGTTCAGAGGGGGACATTTTTTTCTCCTACATGCACTACTACTGTCATTGCAACACTCGAGCTGTGGGGTGAACAACCCCTAAAATTTGTATAGAGGATAATGGTGGAGTGACACATCTTTTGAAAGTCCGTTGAGTTCTCTATCCAACGGCGTCCCGATTTTGAAGTTGGGATGATCTGTTTGGGAAAAAATGAATTCAGGAATAAACCTGTACGATAGTTAAGAGCTCACTTGTACGTTTCTGAAACACTCATTTGCAAGTTTTTGCAAACTATCATTCATTTGCAACGATACTGTGGAAGTTTTTGTTCAGTTTTTTTTTGCGGTACCCATGCAAATATTGTAATAGAATAGAACAAACAGATAGAGCATGCAGTTTCTGTTTTTCACGTGTGTACCACAAGTGAGTTTATTTTATGTTCTGGTTCCCACGAAAAGGAATATCGTGAGAACCAAGGAAGATAAGGTAGGAATTGGTGTTCTTCTTGAATTTCTGGGGATTATATGCCTCGGGAAACATCTCCCCTGGCAATGTGTTCCAGACCCAATGGTGTATACAGTGGCAGAGGGAGTTGAGTTGATTTGACTGTATTTTGTAAACGAAATAGATGTGCGAGAAGGGCTGCTGAACGGTTCAATCAACAATATGGTAGGACTGTGTCGCGGCAGTATGTGCCATGTGCGTCTGAATTAGTATCAAATTTCCGAGAAACGGGATCGGTAGCTCATAAAAAACGGCAAATCCAACCGCCAGTAGAAAATGAGGCGACAACAGTGACAATCTTGAGCCATGTTGAGGTTGACCATACGTTGAGTAAAAGATAGCTCGCAACTGTTTTCGGTATCTCAATAACTAGCATTCAGCGAATTTTAAAACTACATGATTTCCATCCTTACAAAATCCAATTAACACAAGAACTGGATGAAGATGATTTTGATCGGCGTTTACAATTCTGTGAAGTACTAAGTGTTCAGAATTTGTTTGGGTGATGAATTTTCGTTTTTTATTTATTTCTGGCATAGTTAATCATTATAATTATCGATATTGGACTGATTCTAATCCTCATATATTTCATGAGGTACATACGCAGCGATATCTCCAAAAATTAAACGGATGGGCTGGTATCTTTTGGGATCGTATCGTGAGCCCTTTCTTCTTAGAAGGCAATCTAACAGGAGAAATGTATCTGGAATTGCTTGAAGAAACAATTGATCCAATGTTTACAAATATTATTGAAAATTATCATCATTATCTGGGAGATCAGTTGATATTTCAACAAGATGGTGCTCCTCCGCATTATGCTATGCCTGTTCGACGATATTTAGATCAGGTTTCTAATGAATGGCCTCCATGATCACCAGACCTGTCTCTCTCAGATTTCTTTTTGTGGGGTCATTTGAAAAGCAGAATTTATAGTACACCACCAGCTTCACTAGCAGATTCACGGCAACGAATCACAGAAGAATGTCGCCAAATCACCCCAGACATGTTCCAAAATGTACGAGAACGTTTTCAACAAAATCTATATCATTGCATGAAACTGCTAGATCTCATAACTAAGAGATCCAGGATGAACAGATTTGCCCCAATTGTCAGCAGGAGCGAGACAGTACTGTTTCGACCCACCAGGTCTCATCAGCCGCTCTCGGTCTGCTGACAACTGGGACAACTCTACGCTTCGGGTATATCACCCATATCGAAGACGCAGGGTATAACATGAATTCATAGTCATGTTGTACCATCTAGTGGCAAAGCTCTAAGGTAGGATACAGAAATCGCGACACATACCGTATGGCGCTGCCATCTATAGTCACACGTACAGACCCCTACGTACATACGCTGCAGAGTGGTACTACAAGTAAACCACTCTGCTGACAGATGGCACTACCTGACATACTCGAGTGGAATTTTTCCACCACCTATTCAACTGCTAGATCTTATAACTGAGAGATCCAGGATGAACAGAGTTGCCCCAATTGTCAGCAGGAGCGAGACAGTACTGTTTAGACCCACCAGGTCTCATCAGCCGCTCTCGGTCTGCTGACAACTCGGACAACTCTACGCCTCGGGTATATCACCCATATCGAAGACGCAGGGTATAAAATGGAGTTATAGTCATGTTGTAGCCATCTACTGGCGGAGGTCTAAGGTAGGATACAGAAATGGCGACACACACTGTATGGCGCTGCCATCACAGAACTTAAACACAGAGGAGAAGGGAAAAACAGTGTTATGATTCTGTTCCTACAAGGAAAACAAAAATGGCGCTGATAGCCCCTTGATGAGTTCGCGCATTAGCATGCATTAGTAAATGTTATTTGTCAATGACATTGTTTATTTGTTGTTTAATTACAATTTCTCAGTTTTTTCCTTTTTACCCTAGATTTTTTTCTACGTTTTTGAAGTGTTATCATCATGCCTGAAAGATGTTTCATTTGGTCTTGCCAAAGCAGTGGTAAACTCCCAAATATTTACTATTTTCGGTAAGTAATCCTTTTTTTAGGTTACTAAACAGACCCGGCTTGGAAAATTTTTAAACCAAAACATGCTTTAATTTATTTTGTTGTTTTAGCTTTGGTTCCAGGAAGGAACTATGGCTTGAAGCCTTGAGAATACCTGATAAGGATATAAGTTCTAGGAATCTTCTTTGTTCCAAACATTTTGATGCATCAGATGTTGTGTTTCCTGATAGTGAACATGGCAGAGTAAGGCTCAAACCAAAAGCTGTGCCCAAACATTTCATAATCAAAAGGAAATCAACTGACATTCTTTCTTCTGAACCCCCGAAAAAAAAAGTTGCAAGGTATGTGATTACTTTGATTAAAATCTCCAGATTCCCTGATTTGTTTTCATACCTACTAGTTGTTATAAAACAGATTTCTTTTATCATAGCATGCAAATTAACTTTTGGAAATGATGATACTGCTGTTAACTCAAGCACTACAAAATGAAACATTCTGATGGAGTATTTTTTATAGGAAACACCATGATATGTTGGAACAAGAACAACCTTCCACATCCATGAATAAACAACCTAGTAATAATTATGAAGCAGAAGTTGTTCATATCCCAAAGCACATGAAAGAACAGTATGTATATAACTTATAATATTCAATAATTTTTTACCAAAATACTTCCTGAAATACCTACTATAACCTCGACTATAACTGCCTTCCACCTCAATATATTGAAGCTGATTATTCAATTCAAGCTTGTATTTATGTTTCATTTGGATATGAAATATCATGAAAAAGTAATCTATAGGTAGATAAGTTGATACCTATTATTAAAAAATGTGTAACAATAGTGTAGAAGTCCATATACTTAACTCCTGTTTGGTTTTGTGTGTGCCTCTTACCATGTGTAACATTGTTTTAGAAAATACTAGTGAATGCATTTTTTTTCAGGCTTTCCAGTTCAACTGATAGTGCTGGACTGAAGCATACTCCTAAAAGAAATAGGAGGCTAATCAAAAAAATTCATACATACAGGTGTGTACATTTCCTTATGATTACTTAGTGTTCTTTAGATTAATTGAAAAAAACAATTCAACAGTTCTTGAAAAAAAATTGAAATAAAAAACAAGTCCATGGACATTTCATAATATTTAATACATTTAATGTGATTTTTATGACAGCACTACAATTGAGAAAGTTAGTGATAAACTGAAGACACAAAATTCTAGAATCAAGCTCCTAACATATCAACATAAAGTTGAAAAACAGAAGATCAAAAGGCTCAGGAAGAAGGTTGGTCATTTGAATGATGTTGTTCAAGATATCAAAAGAAAAGATTTGTTGAGTCCTGGTGCATGTTCTATACTTGAGAAATCTTTTTCTGGAGTGTCTCTAGCATTGATGAAAAGAATGCTCACAAATTCTAGGAGGGGAAAAGTTGGAAGACAAAAATATGATGCAACACTGAGAAGTTTTGCAATGACATTGCAATTCTATTCCAGTAAAGCTTATGAATATGTGAGAAAAACTTTCAATTTATCATTACCTAGCCAAAGAGTCATAAGAAGTTGGTTGAGTAACATTTCTTGTGAACCAGGATTTTCTCAGCCTGCCTTCGACTCTCTGAAAGAGAAAGTATTAGAGAACAAAAACAAAGGCTACTCCACACTATGCAGTTTGATGCTGGATGAAATGAGCATAAAAAAGCATGTTGATTTTGTAGGTGGAAGATCTTGGAGTTATGTTGATTTTGGGTCCAACTCGAAATTTGATGACCTCACAGATCAGGCCTCTGAAGTTCTGGTTTTGATGCTGGTTGCCCTTAATGGACAGTGGAAGTTACCAATTGCATTTTTCTGGCCAAATCATTGAATGGGGCAGAGAAGGCCAATATCGTACGTGAAGCACTGAAGATGATACATGAATGTGATGTAATTGTTACATCACTAACATCTGATGGACCAAGTGCAAACTTCACGATGATGAGTGAACTTGGTGCAAAATTCAAAGATTTGAATAACATTCAACCATATTTTCTGCACCCTGTTGATGCAACGAAAATATTTATAGTTTTTGATGCCTGTCACATGATGAAATTAATCAGAAATAATTGGGCAGTATTGAATAAATTTGTGGACCCTGATGGTGGTATTGTAGACTTCAAGTATATAACTCTGTTACACCAGCTTCAAGAACAAGAAGGGCTTCGTCTTGGAACAAAGCTTAAAAAAGCTCATATGGAATGGGAGAAACAGAAGATGAAGGTCCCTACCCTTATTCAATACAACTTTCAAAATAATATCTTCATTTATTATTGCCACATTTCAAACTGGCTTCTCAAAATCTTCAGGAAAAAATTATTTATTAGTTTCTCTTTGTTTTCAGGTTAATTTGGCAGTTCAGACTCTGAGTGATAGTGTGGCTAGTGCCTCATGGTTGATATCAAAGATCAAAGATTTGCAGATGCTGCTGCCACAATAAGATTCATTCGACTTGTGGATAAAGTTTTTGATCTTTGTAATTCAAGGACTCCCATGACAGTAAGGATGAAAATGCCTATTCGAATCCAGAATGAGGATTTGTGGTTGCCAGTCTTTGAAGATGCAATTCATTATTTCTTGAATTGCAAAGATCTACAGGGTAAACCACTTGTATCAACTACTAAGAAAACACCATTTCTCGGATTTATATTGACAATCAAATCAATTATTGGAATATATGAAGCCCACATCAAATCTGCTGATGCCAAGTTGAAATATTTGCTCACATATAAACTGAGCCAGGATCATTTGGAATTATTCTACTGCAGTATTAGGTATTATTATTATCATTATTATCATTATTATCATTATTATCATTATTATCATTATTATCATTATTATCATTATTATCATTATTATCATTATTATCATTATTATCATTATTATCATTATTATCATTATTATCATTATTATCATTATTATCATTATTATCATTATTATCATTATTATCATTATTATCATTATTATCATTATTATCATTTTCATCATTATTATCATTATCATCATTATTATCATTATTATCATTATTATCATTATTATTATTATCATTATGAGCATTTTGGACTTTTACCAAACATTGGTATTATTGTTATAATAATGATAATTATTATTAATAAAATTCCAATGAGTTTGAGATGTTTGAATATAAAAACATTCAAAAATAAAATTAAAATATGGATTATGGGAAATGCAAACAAAATTGATGATCTTTTTTAACATTTTTTAATTATTTAAAATATTTTTTCAATAATTGCAATGATTTTTAATGTTTTCAAAACTTTTCATTTGTTTTCTTTTTTCATTTATTTTCTCTTTTTAAACTTTATTATTTTTTTCAATTATTTAAATTCGATTTAAATATTTACATATTTAGATTATAAAGAAACCAAGATGTTTTTTTTTACATGAAATACTTAATCTTTTTCACACACAGGTAGCTAACCTATGTGAAGAAGATTGGATTTGAATTATATTTATAATTAATTTCGTTCCATGAACATGTGTATTTTTACTCAATGAATAAAATTGAATTGAATTGAATTATAAAGATTGATCAAGTTTGTAGGCCAGTCATAATAATAATAATGATAATTATTATTAATATTATGACTGGCCTACAAAACTTGGTCAATCTTTATCTGGATCTTTATTATCATATTATATTTCTCTGTTAACCATTATATTTCTCTGTTAACCAATATATTTCCCATCTACAGGTCCAGAAATGGTTGGAATAATAATCCTTCAGCTTTACAGTTTTGCCGCAGTTATAAAAGACTGTTATTACATCATGACATCAAGAACATGAATGGAAACTGTGTGGCTCAAGATTCAACAAATGTGTTGTATACTACACATTCCAATAGGACAACCATACCATTAGACTCTACTGATATTCATATAATCAGAAAGTATTCATTGGAAGTTGAGGAATCCTATTTACATGATCATACTATAGTATGCCAATCAACCCTTCCTTGAGTGATATATCTACGAATGTTGTAGCCTATGTAACAGGATATGCTATCAAAATGGCTATAAAATTGATCAAGTGTCCAACTTGTATTGAAGCTCTACAATCTCATGATACCAATAAAGGGGATTATTTATCACTCCTCTTGAGAAAAAAGTGGGGTAATTTGATAGTACCTTCTGATGATAGCATAAAAGTATGTAAATTAGTGGAGAGCAATCTGAGGGATGTACTATCTGTGACTGAGAACAAAATTCCAAGGGAACCCCAATTCTTAAATTATTTCATTTCAAGTGTTTATGGTGAAATTATGCATCGTCCTTTATTTTTAGACATTGATGATCATAATAAGGAATTTTTGATCTTATCTGAGAATCATAAGACTAGAATAATAAAATCTCTATGCGTTTCATATTTGAAAATAAGGCTCTTCAATTTAGCAAAGTCACAGAGCTATGAAATAAAAGGTGATTTAATTAGGAAGAAATTAAGCAAACTAGTACTTTCAGTCATCAATGATTTTTTTGTATTCATCAAGTTGATATTTATTGTGGGAAAAATAATTAAAACAAGTGGAATATGGGTATAACAATGTTATTGTTTTTTAGTAATATATATAATTCCAATTTCATTTGCTTTTTTCATTTCAAGATTCATCATACCTGTCCCTTTGTAACTTGTTCATTTTGAATACAGAAATCTGGACCCACTGTGAATTAAAAAAAAAACAAATTTATGCATTTTCTTGTAATATTGTCGATAATGTGGCTTTCCAAATTAATATACTACAGCTTCAGCTATTTTCCAGAAATTCATAGTGGGCCATCCTGTAACACAGCCCTCATAGGACGACACGATTTCGTGCAGGTAATATTGTTAAGAAGTACCTACAATACCTACTAGTGTAGGGAAAAATTACTATTAAATTGAATAAAAACAGAAACTCAATGGATTGATAGTGAAGATGTATTATTATAAACATCTCAGTGAAGATTTAGCATTTGACAATTATCATCGATGTCATTTTATAGTGTTGTGCGACAAACAAAACTGAACACAGATTTTCCCATCAATTTATTTTTATCCAGAAAAAACTGCTTTTTTTCCTCATTTCTATGACTTGAGTTGAAACAAATGCTTAGAACTGCTGTTGGACAACAAATAAAACGACGCCGTCTCTGAGCACAAGTTAGTGCGCAAACGCGTCAGGGGGCTATTTCCGCCATATTTCATCTCCTAGTAGGAACACGGCAATGAATTTGTAATTCCCTTCTCCTCTGTGTTTAAGTTCTGTGGCTGCCATCTATAGTCACACGTACAGACTACAACAAGTAAACCACTATGCTGACAGATGCCACTACCTGACATACTCGAGTGGAACTTTTCCACCACCTTGGAACTTGAATTTAATAATAATAATAATAATAATAATAATAAATGTCTTTATTACCAATTAATGAAAGATAATTAAATTTTGTTAGTGCATAGTTAGGGCGAGATTCAGTTTGTATGCATTAAAAAAAAATGTACAGTATGAAATATAAATTTTACATTTAACATACATCTGCTCTTCCATCTAACCCCATGCTCTTCCATCTAACCCCGACAAATCAATCCTGATTACGCCTTATGCTAATATCAAGGTATTGCATCATATGACAAGAAACGAATTGACCTTAATGGAAATTGCTCCATGATCTGAACAAAGTCGAAACTTTGATTGATAATGATGAAATTATAATACTCCATCCAAGAATCCATAATTGTGAGATACCCAAGAGTCTTACTATTGCGGAAAATGGCGAACCCATAACTTCAATTTCAGATAATACGACTAAGCTAAAAATTACGTTAGACTTTTCTGCTCCACTTGACGTTGGAAAACATAATAGGCGTAATATTCAAGAATTTAATTCCAACAATTTCGATAACACCCCTTAACAAAGATCAGACATTTCCAAATTGAGAACCGATCACTTAAATATTAAAGAAAAAATCAAACATCCTGAATTAGTGCAGAGAATATTCGGATATTTT